GTCGTTGACGAGCCGCACCTTGCCGATGCCGAAGCGCCGCTCCAGCGCGCCGCCGTCGATGACCCAGTCGCGGTTGGTGAAGGAGACGGCGTTGCGCTCGACCGGGCCCGCGACCGCCAGGCAGGCCGCGGACGGCGGCGCAAGGCCGGCCAGGAAGGCGCGAAGGACGTCATCGAATGCCTTGAAGTCGCCGTTGAGAAACTGCTGCTCTTTGATAATCTTGCCGGGCGCACACCCCGTTGTGTGCTTGTCGTCCGGCGATATTTCGTAGGCCTGGAGCCGCGAGTTGGTGCCGCCGATGTCGCCGACGAGGATGAGCGAGGATGCCATGAGAAGAGGCCAGGGAGCGAGAGGCGAGCGACGCGATGCGAGGGCGCTGATGCGGAGGCACGCAATCAGAGACACGTCCCGCGGAGTTTTTTATTTTTTCTCTTCTACTCCCTTGCACGACATTGTTTGTGTCTGTGTGTTGCTCGTGCGTGTCGTCATCATCTGTCCCGCGTCCACCCATACCGCGTTGGTGTCCAGTCCGAGCCTGACTGTTGTTCATCTTTCTACATACATACATGCACGACACTCAGCGGCCTCGCTGGACCAGAAGAACCGGTCCGCGAGTGCTCCGCAGCAACCTCGCTGAGCCAGAACGTCGGCTCGCGAGGTGGGGTGCTAGTATGAGCCCGATACGTCGCAGTGTTCTTGCTCCCAGCGCTTGCGCTTCGGCGGTTAGTGGTGCACTAACCTCCGAGAAACCCTTCGGGGTCGCTCCTCATCGCAAACCCTCCTGTAAGCAGAGTCCTCCTACGGGAATGTACGTAAGAGCCATGAGCTGTATCGTCGTCGTCGTCTCTAGCCAGTCACTCAAACTCTCAGAGATGGGCTAAAGAGGATCCGGAGCGCGGTAAGACTCTGGGTCTCTCTCCGAAGGGAGCGTAGCGTACGCGGAGGGAGCTCAGAGTTGTTGAGTTACCCCGTTCTCTGGAACCTCTTGGAGCAAGAGGAACTCGCAAGAGACGAATGCGGTTCGATCGGGCGGTAGATGAGGGATGGTGGTGGGTCGCTTTGAGAACTGATAGGTTGGCGCCTGTCTGAGCAGGAGCCGACGCTAGTCGAGAGCGGTGTGAGGGCCTCGTGGCGCTCGGAGGTCCCGCCGTACAAAACGGCGGTCAGCAGAAGGCGCGGGGGTAAGGGTTCCCGCCCGCTAGGCTGCCCTCGGCGCCGAAGCTCGACCCGCTTCTCCTCAGTTCACTAGCACAAACTAAAGTTTGTTTAACATGAACTGTATCGTCGTCGTCGTCTCTAGCCAGGACCTCGAACCGCTGCTGCGCAATGGTGGGTGGGGCGGGGTTTCCCGCCCCACCGGCCATCGGCGGGGTAGGCGCGCGGGTGGGGGGGGTTGGGATGAGGGGGAGTGGGATGGGGATGGTCTTTTCGGCGAGCACCACGGTGCTCGCGGATTCGACCATCCCCCTGATTGGGGGTCCGACGACGGCTAAGGTGAGGACGACGGCTTCTAAGGAAGCCGTCGCCCGTGCCTTGCCTGTCGCGTGAATCGTGTTGTGCGACCGCCTTTTGTTGTAAAATTCTTTTGATGGT